AGTTTAAAATGCAAAAATAAGATTACAAAACTGTGCAAACTCTATATAAAAGTTAGTAGTAAGCGTTTAAGAACAATATCTTTAAAATAATAATAACTAGGTTTTTGGTATATTTTGAAAGAAAAGTTAATAATGTTTTCGAAAAAACATTATAATATTGCATATTATTACATATTTTAAGCATTAAGTATGACGTACTAAAAGATGTTTCATATTTTTAAACAATTCAAATTTTGTTCTCTTCAACTGGTATTTGCTTCCTCCAGCGACATCTATGGAAATTAATCTGCTGAACGAGCAAAAGTAATATATTCCATTGCTGCAGCCCTGGAATAAGTCGATTAGATCAAGTTCCACTGTTCAGTTTAGAATTCGGATTCACTTGAAATTTAAAATATACCTTGAAAATAACAAGATTTATTGTTGAAAATAGTTCAATTGTTATAAACAATAATCATATTATTTTTTTCTCTTTTATATAGAATGAAAAAAAAAACCTTATTATTTTTTTGAATAAATATAAATATATAGTATCATACACTATGAGCTACTCCCCTATGGCCCAACGCTCAATTCGGACTTGTACTGCCAACAACTGGACCGTTTGAATGCAGCACTCATGCAGAAGAGGCCATCTTTGATCAACAGAGCGCGAATTGTCTTCCACCAGGAAAACGCCAGGCCACACACATCTTTGGTGACGCGTCAGAAGCTCCGGGAGCTCGGATGGGAGGCTCTTTTGCATCCACCGTATAGTCTGGATCTCGCACCAAGTGATTACCACCTATTTCTGTCCATGGCGCACGAGCTTGATGGTCTGAAGTTGGCCACAAGAGAGTCCTGTGAAAATTGGCTCTCCGAGTTTTTTGCCAATAGGGAAGTGAGCTTCTATGAGAGGGGCATCATGAAGTTGGCATTTCGTTGGGAACTCGTCATCGAACAAAACGGCGCATATTTGACTTGAATCGCATTATTGTAACCAATTTTATGGACAATTGAAAATTCAATAAAAATAACGCAAGACTTTTGAACCCTCTGCAAGAGTATGAAAAAAACTCCAAGTCAAGGAGTAAACAAGAAATAAAATTAAAGAAAGGGAAAAAGGAAGATATGTTAGGATTTTAATTGTCATTAAAATATTAAAAGTGTTGAAAATTAATATAAATTATAGGTAAATTTAGTTTTTTAAATTTATTTCTTTAATAATTACAATATTTACTTATTCTATAAGTATTGTTTTTTAAAAAGAAGAAAGTAAGCTAGCTTCGGCTTATACATATACCCTTACAGTCATCAAATATGTAGAACAAAATGCATAAAGGCTAAACAACAACGAAGCTAGGATGATTTTTCTATTCATTTTCCATATTTTTGTCTACAGATCATATGGCAGCTATATGATATAGTTGTCCGATTTTGATCAAATTTAATTCGCAATTCAAGAGTCGTTAGAAAACTTTATATTCCAAAAATCATGCTTATCCGATGAAAAACTACGATGTTATAATTTTATTTCCGTTATTTTTATATAAATTTTTTGATCTTTCCTATGGCAGCTATAAGATATACATAGTTGTGCGATTTTCATGAAACTCTTTTCTTAATTTAAGGGTTGTTAAAAAACTTCATATTCAAAAAATCATTCTCGTGGGATAAAAATTAACGATGTTATCAATTTATTTCCATTAATTCTATATATATTTTTCGATCTCTCCTATGGCAGCTATATGATAGAGTTATCCGATTTTGATAAAATTTAATCCGAAATTCAAAAGTACAGTCGAGTCTCGATAATTCGAAATGGCAAGATCACTTTTTTTTACGAATTAGACGGGAATTCGATTTATCGAGATTTCTATTTAACGGGGCTCAAAAATAAAAGAGTCGTATAAACGGGGTTTTTACATTTCACATCATGTTAACAATTGTATTTAACTTTATTAAAATTAAACAAACATAAGTATGTACATTCATTTGTATGTTTTTCAAATAAAAGGAAAATTAAACAATAACATAAAACTATAACAGCGAGAGAAACACAAAATTCATAATGCATAGCGACATAAAGGCGGCATAGCTGTCTGCAAAATCTAAAGGTGCTTTAACTACAAAAAATTTCGCATCGCATTACGATTTATAAGAGGTTACGAAACAAAATTACGATTTATAAGAGGTTCAGTATTCTTTGAGTTGCGCCAAATACTACGAATTAACGAGGGGACCAAAATGTATGGAATTTTTACGAATTAACGAGTTTTTTTCAAGGGGACAGAATTTTTTACGAATTATCGCGATTTTCGATTTAGCGGGGTACGAATTATCGGGATTCGATTGTAATAAAAATATCGTTTCACTATCATAGCTTTAAGTTTTAGCTATCAACCAAATTTTCTGGTGGTTTCTAGCTTTTTTCATATGTCACTTTAGCTTCTTTATAACCAGAAGAGTTGGAAACACTGGCAGGTTGTTAGGATGAGAGCCAGGACATACTTGCTGCCTTTGCAAGCACTGACTGCTTGACCATTGTAGTGTGCCCCTGGAAAGTGAGTTCTCTATCCAAAATCACACCAAATTATGTACTTGTAGTAGTGCTCGTGACGAAGTGCAGTACCAAGCATAGAAATGCCTGGGCAGTTCTTTGGCCTTTTGGAGAATGTGACACAAGAACATTTGTCGTAGTTTATGCCTATATTCCAATTGGTTGTCCATTTCTCAAAACGTGATACGTACTCCTGCAGGCCCAAGGTTGCAATGTCTATACTTGGACATGAGTATGTCATCACTGTCAACTTCGGTACATCCCCAGGAAACTGGCATATCTGATGTATACAGAAAGTAGCGTGTCGGGCCTAGAACACTGCCTTGTGGTACACCGGCTGAGATTGGACGTTTTGAGGTCTTTTCGCAATCAACAACAACGCTAAATTTCCTTTCCGATAGGAAGCTCTGAATGAGGAGCTTATTTAGGAGGCCGTCGTACCATACCCTATCAAAGGCTTGTTGGATATCCATAAATAGCAACTGTGTACATTTGGTTTTCCATAGCTTCCAGAGCGAAGTTGACTCCGCTATGAAGCTGTTCAGGGGTGCCGTGACTTTTTTGGAAACCAAACTAACACTTTGGAAGAATTCAAGTCGATTCGATCAAAAACAACGGGGTGAAATTTTTTTTTTTCAATTTATCGTATGGGTGCCATCCTATATAGTCACCCGATCCGGCCCGTTCCGACTTATATACGGCGTGCAATAACTACATTATCATGATTGTCTGATGAAAAACGAGGTAATAATTTTATTTCAGTTATTTCTATATAGATTTTTCGATCTTTCCTATGGCAGCTATATGATATAGTACTCCGATTTTTATGAAATTTTTTTCTCGATTTAAGATTATTTAAAAAACTTGGTGTTCCAAAAATCATGCTCGTGGCATTAAAAACAACGAAATTATAATTTTTTTCCATTATTTATATATATATTTTATGATCTCTCCTATCGCAGCTGAATGATAGAGTTATCCGATTTTGATAAAAATTTAATCCGAAATTGAATAGCAGTTAGAAAACGCCATCTGGAAGGAATCAAGTCGATCTGATCAAAAACAACGGATTAAGAATTTTTAATTCGGCCGATCCGGCTCGTTCCGACCTATATACTGCGTGCAACAACTAGACAACTTTTGGGAAAGTTTTAGCCGGATAGCTTTAAAACTGAGAGACTAGTTAACATAGAAACCGTCAGGAGGACAGACGGACAGACAGACAGACGTACAGACGTACTTGGATTCTGACTGAAATTATAATACCCTCTGCTCTGCAAGGGTATAAAAAAGACAGACGTACAACCTATTTCGATTCAGGTCGTGATGCTGATGAAGAATATATATACTTTATAGGGTCTTAGGTGTCTTTTTCACTGCGTTGCAAACTTGTGACTGAAATTATAATACCCTTTGCTCTGCAATGTTATAAAATTGATAGCGTCTTTCTTTTTAATCCAACGAGCATGATTTTTAGAATATCGGCTTTTTTAATAACCCTTGAATCGACAGAAAAACATTGAATGAAATGTAGAGCTAACGGAAATGAAATGCAATATCTTTGTTTTTCATCAGACAAGAATAATTGTTGCAACATAGAATTTTCTAACAAATCTTGAAATTCATATTAAATTTCATAAACATCGGACAACTATATCATATATCTGTCATATGAACAATCCTCGTTAATATAGAAACATAATAGAGATAGCTTTGATGTTGTTTAGCCTCTATGTATTTCGTTCGACATATTTGATGACTGCAAGGGTATTCAAGTTTCGACTCACCGAAGCTAGCGTCCTTTGTTGTTTATCTTGAATTAAATTTTGGTAAATTTGGAAGGTTAAATCATATAGGTTTTGTAGAAACAATCGAAGTTCTTAAAAAAATGAAATGGAGTAAAAATCATCACTTTTTTGATGTTGATAAGCATTCTGGCTTTTACCTTTTGGTAAATTCGGAAGGTTAAATCATATAGGTTTTGTAGAAACAATCGAAGATCTAAAAAAAATGAAATGGAGTGAAAATCATAATTTCTTTGATGTTGATAAGCATTCTGGATTTTACCTAGATATTTAATTATATGTTACGATAAGTGATTTAAAAATGCTTGTTTTTCCTATAGCGATCGGACTACTACATCATATAGCTGCCAAGGAAAAATTTGAAAATAAATTAAAAGATCGACAAGAAGCTTGCAAACGTCGTAAGGATATGATTAACAAAAGAAAAAATATCTCCATAGACTGAAACTTTGGCTTCCTGTAGAAAATTCCTAATTAATCGTATACTCTATATATGTAAATGCTCGTATATAAAGCCATAAACATTACAAGGATATATTCCTTTTAGTCACAGCTACGTTCTAATATTCTGCTGACCTTAGTTTCCCTTGGCTTTTTTTTTATCAGCTTCAAATTTATGTATAAATAGGAGCGTCCTCATAAAGAACGTCAACAGTTTTGTGCCGGTCGTGCACGAACAAAGTTGGACGCGAACCAAGTTATTGAATTTACCAACGGACTTCTGATTGAGTGTGAGTCAAGTGTAGCAGGTGGCTATTTTCAGTGTAGAATTGTGCGGTTAGTTAAGCGCCGTGAATCAAGTGGGCTATTGTCACATCTCAGGGCGTCGAGGTTTTGTTGACGTACGTGAAACGCATTTGAAAGTAGTGACCTAAGAGGCACGATTCTTTAGTTACTCACACACAAACTTATATCCGTGTGCAAGTTTTTTAAATTGTGCCTATAACACAAGAATCATGGAGCAAAAATGCTTTGGAATACAATTTACCCAAATGTGTAGAGGCTATATTAACATACTGGTGGCCGAGACTATGGGCTGTTTGTGTCACTATTTTCTTCGTGTACGCCTTTTACTCTTGTTAAACAAGGAAGCTCTTAAGCCGGGCGAATGACATTTGTCAGAGAACAACGTTGAGTTCTTAACGTTCAATGAACTCCTACAAGCAGTCAAAGCTCGACTCAACTCTCTCTTAGTAATTCCAGGTCCCCAAGCTGTTTATCTCAAAACTTGTCCAACGTCTTTTTTTACATTTCGCCTCTCCCGTAGGTTACATACATTTAAATAACATAACCCGGCCGGCAATGTTTTGTTAAAGAACGTTCAGTCTGAAAAAAATGTAAAAAAATTTAGACAAAACAAAAACCGGATTTTACCGTTAGTTTCTTAGCTGATTATAAATATAACAGAAATAGGAATAATTTTGCGAAACTTAAAGGTTTAAAGAGAGAGAAAAATATATAGATTAAAGGTCAGTTCTTGGAAAACACCTTGGTAAGCTCCTATGCCATCCTCTCGGTGTGCATTTTTGTAATCGCCCAAATAACAGGGCTTTATTTAGGTTGTACTTTCCAGTATGCTATATTATCTCTTTAATTGAATCATTAAATCGAAGTATATTCCGTAAAAACATAAAAAATATTTAAAAATTTTTGTGGCCATGCAACCGTCAATCGTCATGATTTTAAACACTTCTTTTTTGCGTTTGCGGCGCGGTGAAGGCGACTCCTCAGCCTCCATATAGGGTATGAATTCTTGATCATCATGACTATCTAGAAATGTACGTCTGTCCTTCTGTCTGTTTCTATGCAAGTTTGTCTCTGCAGATAGTATATATGCCCGAATAAAATTGAGGCAAAATGCTCCTATAACAAAAATTGCAGTTATGATTTTTAAAAAAATTAGTCAGTATAGTATAATTTTTATGAAATTAGCAAGACTTTTATAAGGCAGTGAAGAAAATACACGGGGTCTGAGGTGTTTAAAATAAATATATTCTTGATCAGAATTGCTAAGTAAATCGATTTAGACATTTGCAGCTATCCTTCTTTCCGATGATTTTTAAAAAATCTATTTTTATTAATGAGAGAAAAATTATTACGTCGTTGTTTTTTTTTTTAACACACAAGCATGATTTTTTAAGTTTCGAGTTTTTTAGCGTAGAGTGTCCAAAATTTCGACTACGTTATCGTCTATCTGCCACAGGAGAAATCGAAAAATCAATATAAAAGTAATAGAATAAATTTAATGAATTTTCTTAACACACTAATTGTTTATTATATAAATGAGTCGAACTAATGTTCCGTCAGTTGACTAAGGACAACGCTAAGGAGAATAAATGAACGATGATTTAGGTTTACGTCTTTATTCGGTTGATCTACGCTTAAGACTAATTTCTTGTTACAAAAATCATACTTGTGCTGCCCTTTCTTTACAAAAGTTTAGGAGCGAAAACGCCCTCTTGGAATAGTGATTGTATACAATAATTTGAGCGTAAGAGTGCCACTTAGGGTTCGGCACTTAGTGATTGCAAGAATTGTTTATGTTATTGAAGAGCGGCATCGCCTGCTCTGGATGTGGATTGTTTACATTGATTGAGCGTGGGATCGCCTACGCTGCATATTCTTATTTCTTGGTACATAGCTGAATATGTGAATATGACGCTTGCCTCCCCTTGAAAAGGGTTGCCGGCAACTGGTTTTGTGCCGGTTTTATTTCTTGTATATATTTTTTGGTTCTTGATTATTTTTTTCTTGTGTTCTAAATTCTGTATATAAAATGGTAAGTGGTAAATGGTAAAATTTTTTGATAGGACAAGAAAAATAATAAGACAATAACTACAATTATTATAGTTACGTAAAATGTGGAATTATTTTCTGAAATTAGTTTCAACACGTGATTGTGATTTACCAATTTTTAGTTAAATTAATCGATTAATACAATGGGGTTAAATCAAATTCTGGACTTAACGAATTTTCACTCAAAATAACATTTCCAATTTTAATTCTACATTGTTTTATTCTAATAATTTTTCCTTCCATTTATTTTTATGTCTCTATTTAATTCTTGACAATTTTGTGAGATTGTAGTTAGATTCCATGTATGTAAGTATAATATTTGGTTCAACGTATTGAATCATTTCTCTTGAGGGTGTTGGTATAAAATTACAAATTGGGTTCTTGTGCTTAATTATTATACCCTTGCCGAGCAAAAGGGTATTATAATTTCAGTCACAAGTTTGCAACGCAGTGAAGGAGACACCTCAGACCCCATAAAGTATATATATTCTTGATCAGCATCATGAGTAGAATCGGAATACGTCTGTACGTCTGTCCGTCTGTCCGTTTCCGCGCAAACTAATCTCTCAGTTTTAAAGCTATCTTGCTGAAACTTTCCCAAAAGGTGTGTAGTTATTGCACGCACTATATAAGTCGGAACGGACCGGATCGGCCGACGATATCGGATAGCTCCCATACGAGAGATTGAAAAAAAAAATTCTCACTCCGTTGTTTTTGATCAGATCGACATGATTTCTTCAAGATGGCGTTTTCTACTACTATTGAATTTCGGATTAAATTTGATAAAAATCGGATAACTCTATCATATAGCTGCCATAGGAGAGATCGAAAATTATATATAGAATTAATGGAAATAAATTGATAATAGAAATATTTCAGCAGGTGTTTGTCCAGTGGTGTCATGTTTAATTTTATGGTTGTATGTGTAAAGGATTTTTTCTATCTTATTTAATTTTACTTCTTCATCATCGGATGAATAGATTATTCTGATTTTTTCATTTATTGTTTCATGTAGTCTTTTGGCGTCTGCTACGCCATTTTTTGCCGTACTGAATTGTAAATTAATTCCTTCTGCTTCAAGCCATCGCTTTAGAGTCAAGCTGGAGAAAGCTCCACCTCTGTCTGCCTTTAGTAATTTTGGTTTGCCTAATTGGTAAAAATGGGCATTAGCGCGTTCCTGCATTCTATCCAGTCTTTTGTTTTAATTTGTTGTTTTTTTGGGTGTGATTTAAAATTTTTGTGTTTCTATGTTCTGTTTTAGCCAAATTGCATATGTTGCATTCATTTATTATATTTTGAATTAATAATTGGCTATTTGGAAAGAAGGTATTTTCTTTGAATAATTTTGTCATTTTCTGTATACCTGGATGTAAAAGTTTTTCATGTGATTGAATTATAATTTCTTTGAATTCGGCGTATGAACAAACATTCTTTAATAGATAGAGGATGCGAATTTTAGTGTAGGTTGGATTAATATTTTCTCTGTATGCTCTTTGAATAGTTTAAAAATCTACTTCGCCTCAATATAAATGGTTATGTTTCTATAAATAAAATTATCAAGTAAAATCTGTTTGGCTTTTTCGAATGTCATTACATTATATTGAATTGTGGTAATGGAGTTACCGAATATTGTTGAATGCTCCACTTGATTTTTATAAGGTTGCTATTGCCTTCTTCTGCACTATGTTGAGTAACTTCACTATAATGATTTTCTTCAATTTTGAATCTTAAAATGCATCGGCAACTGAATTTTCGTTCCCTTTAATATAGTCTTGGTATTGGTATTTGTTTAATTTAGCTCTCCATCTTTGTAACTTGCCATTCGGTTTTTTTAAGGTATGCAACTATCTAAGAGGTTGGTGGTCACTAGCAATGAGAAAATGTCTCCCTAGTAAATAATGTCGAACAGTTTTAGTGGCCCAGAATATGACAAGTAATTCCTTTTTAATAGCTCTGTAATTTATATCATGTTCATAAAGTGTTCTGCCTATGAATGATATACTATAGGATGGCCATTTCGAGAAAGCACGGCCTCAAGGGCTAAATTACTTGCATCTGTGGTTAAAGTGATTTGTTTTTGAAATCGGGTAATTGGAGAATGGGTTCTCTAATTATTAAAGCTTTAAGTTTTTTGAATGCTTCGATGTAGTCGAGATTTCGTGTATCTATCTTTTCTCCTTTTGATCATTGGTTATCTGTCGTGAATCGTTATTTCATTGAAGTAGTAATAGTAGTAGTAATCAATTACTATATACTTCATTTTTCCAGAGGCATTCGTTTTTTTGGGTACTATCCAGGTAGGACTATTTTATGGTGAATAACTTTCCCTAATTAATCCCTGATTAGGGATTTCCTGCACTTGGTTTTCGACTTTAATTTCGTACACTTGAGCAAGTGGGTACTGTTTTGATTAAATTAGGAAGTTATGTGTTGTAATTAGTATGCGTTTAATGGTATTTGTAAATGTTAGATTGTCTCCTTCTTCATATTGAAGATTTTTGAATTTATAAACTTTTTAACTTTGAAGTTTCCTCCTGAATCAAGTGATCTAACCGAAACAATTCAATTTTTTTTTTTTTGATTCCTGAGCTGATTTTTTTATTGGTTCTGGTGCCTTTTGGATTATTTTTTTTTCTGATTTTGAAGCTATATTTGTATATTTTATTGAAATTTATTGTGCATTTCTCAACAATTTTCTACCATGTATATCGTAGTTATTAGAAAAACTGTGTACATAAAATGGCTCGTTTGTTTTAAAAATACTATTTCTGGGTAACATAATCAAGTTGTTCAACTAAATAGAACCATTTGATGTCACAACTTCACATTAAGTATTTTGAATAGGAAGACGAAATATATTTTTATTAATCATTTTTTTTGTGGATCCCGTGTCTATAAGGCATTTGTATGTGCTACCTTTGTATGACATTTCTATGTACTTGTGTTGTCCGGGGCTGTTACCCGAAAATTTTCGTTTGGCTCTGAGCTATTTTGAATTTGTTCATTTGTATTTTAATTGGTTTTTGCCCTTCATTAATTAACCCATAGTACTAATTGTGGTCATAATACTGTTGTTCATAATAATTAGGTTGTAATTCTTCGTATATCTTGAAATCTCAATTCGTCAATAGACATTTTGGTTTGCTCACTGTCCGATGGTCTTAGTCGTTTGGTAACCCGGAAATTAATATTTTTAGAATTGGATGGTTGTTGTTGTTGGGGGTATGTATTTCCTTTAAAATATAATAATGCTGTTTGAGGACTTTGAGGTTTATTGGAATTTTGTGGGAAGGGGTGAGTAATTTTGTGAGTAATTGGTTTTGAGTTCATATATTGATTGGGTTCAAAATGATTCGGTAGGTGTCACATAGCTTGATTTTTAGGAATCTGATGTGTATAGGTGGGTCTTAATGATTGCCTGTATTGATTAAAATTAGTTGGAATGGCTGAGGGTATTGTGGCTAACTTGGTCGATATTAGGCTTGGGTATTTGTATTGAATTTGTGTGATTTAGAATTCTGAGTAGGGTTTGCATTTTTATTACGGTTTTCTGGATTTTTATTTAATTCAAAATTAATATGTTCTTCGTATATTCCCTCATTTTGTGCAATACTAATTAACGATCTTAAGTCTGTAATATCATGATGAGCCAAAATAGTGAATAATTGTATTGGTAACTTCCTGATCAGTATTTTAATGGAATCTTTAATCGCCTGTACATAAATAAGAAAATCTGGCTGGTTACCTTCTAAATTATTATTAGGTGGCACTACAACCCTCCAGGCGCCTCTGCTCCTCCTCCAATCGGAAATACCCAGTGCAGCTAGGTTCTCCTCCACTTGGTCCTTCCATCGGAGCTTTGGTCGTCCCCTTCGTCGTCGCCTTACCAAATACCTTCTGAGCTAGAGATTCTTTATCCATACGCACAACGTGGGCGAGCCAGCGCAGACGTTGTACCGTGATGCGCCGGATCACGTCCACGTCGTCGTACAACTCGTACAGCTCGTGGTTCATCCGAATGCGAAAGTCGTCCCCAATCCGAACGGGACCAAAGATCTTGCGAAGAATTTTTCTCTCGAACACTCCAAGCGCTACTGCATCCGTCAGTGATATTACCGATGCTTCTGCGCCATATAATAGCACGGGTAGGATGAGTGTCTTGTAGAGTGTTAATTTTGTACGGCGAGAGAGGTCTCTGTTGCACATTTGCTTACTCAGACCAAAGTAGCACCTATTGGCAAGTGTGATTCTTCGCTTGATCTCCAGGCTGACGTCATTTTCGGTGTTAAAGGCAGTGCCAAGGTACGTGAACTCTTTGATCACTTCGAAGGTATAGCTGTCCGCTACCACATGGGAGTCTAGGCGCCGCGCCTCCCTGCTTGTCGACAGCATATACTTCGTCTTGCCCTCGTTTACCGCCAAACCCACTTTTGCCGACTCTTTTTCGATAGCCGAAAATACAGCAGTGACATCACGCTTGCTGCGGCCAATGATGTCAATATCATCGGCATACCAGATCGATGTACACCGGCTTTCCGCAGTACCCCTTCTATCACGAAATTGAAGAGATCGCACGACATGGGGTCGCCATGTCTGAAACCTCGAACGGTGTTAAAAGGTTCGGATAGGTTCGTTCCTACCTTGGCAGAGCTGATGGTGCTGCTCAATGTCATTCTGCAAAGACGTATTAGCTTTGCAGGAATACCGAACTCAGACATGGTGGCATATAGGGGTTCCCTCGTCGGGCTATCGAATGAAGCTTTATAATCGACAAAGAGATGGTGTGTGTCAATGTTATTCTCGTGGGTTTTTTCCAGGATTTGGCGTAATGTGAAGATCTGGTCTATGGTGGACTTACCAGGTCTGAAGCTGCACTGATAAGGTCAGTGTGCTGGTATACGGCTTCAGTCGTTCACATATAGCGCTCGATAGTACCTTTTATGAGATGGTAATCAGGCTGATTCCCCGGTAGTTGGCGCATATCGTCGGGTCACCTTTCTTCAGTACAGGACAAAGGACGCTGAGATTCTAGCCATATTTTGCACAAAAGCTGATGCATGCACCTTATCAACTCTTCGCCGTCAGCCTTAATCAACTCTGCAGGCAGTCCATCAGCACCGGCTGCTTTGTTGTTTTTGAGCCGCGTAATAGCAACTCGGACCTCGTCATGGAACATCATGTTAAATATTCTTAAATCGAAAAAAAAATTTCATAAAAATCGGAGTACTATATCATATAGCTGCCATAGGAAAGATCGAAAAATCTATATAGAAATAACGGAAATAAAATGATTACCTCGTTGTTTTTCATCAGACAATCATGATTTTTTCAGTATAGAGTTTTCTAATGAGTTTTGAGTTACAAATTAAATTTCATTAAAATCGGACGACTATATCATATAGCTGTCATATGAACAGTATGGAAAATTAATAGAAAAATCGACATAGCTTCGATGTTTTTTAGCCTTTATGTATTTTGTTTGACATATTTAATGACGGCAAGGGTATATAAGCTCCGGCTTGGCGAAGCTAGTTTCCTTTCTTGTTTTTTCCGTTAATTCTATGATGGTTTTGATCTTTCCTATGGCATCTATATGAAAAAGTTGTCTGATTTTTTTTGAAATTTTTTTTATAATTCAAGGCTACTTAAAAAACTTGGTCGTGTGTTGAAAATCAGCGTCGTTATCAACTTATATCCATTAATTCTCCTATGGCAGCCATATAAAATAGTTATCCGATTTTGATGAAATTTAATTCGAAATTCGATTGTGGTTAAAAAACACCATCTGGAAGAAAACAAGTCGATATGATAAAAAACAACGGCCTGGGAATTTCTATATAGTCGCCCGATATGGCCCGTTCCGACTTATCTACTTCGTGCAATAACTACAAAACTTTTGGGAAAGTTTCAGCAAGATAGTTTTAAAACTGAAAGACCAGTTTGAAGAGAAACAGACAGTCGGACAGTCGGACAGACGGACAGTGGAACAGACGTACAGACGTATTTCGATTCAGATCTAATATCAAGATCAAGAATACATTTACTTTATGGGGTCTGAGGTTTCTCCTTCACTGTTAGCAAACCTCTGACTGAAATTATAATACCCTTTGCTCTGCAAGGGTATACAATAAGATCTTGAGGGACTCTACTGTGATCAACCGTTTCAATGGGCGTGGCAGAAGTAAAAAAGCGCAAGAAAGGCAGACATCGTTTTGCAGCTTTTGGGCAAAATACTAGGCATTGAAACGCCTTTTGCTGCATACTCATAACATGAATCTTTCTCTAGTTTCTCTTAATTGAACAGCTATTGTGATATTTTTACAGGGCAGAAGAACGTTATTGAAATGAGTCTCATTGACTCCTATAAGCTTCTGGTGAGTTAAGTCTTCTAATTTATAAATTCATCTCATAAAAAAGTGGCCCTACCACATCTTCGACCAGGTGCTCTTAGCCATGCTTGGGGTACCGCTAGTTGAGGCCCATATTCGCATCGAGGCACAGGAATTTCATGTGGCTCCCCAACAAAAGCCCACATTCGTTCGTTCCGCCGTAGAAAGCATATCCTTGGACGATAAAGCCGAACAACTTATCCGTTCTAATGACCGTTCTGTGTTTGGAGAAGCTTTCCTACCACTGCGTAGTGCCGTGGAGAGTGTTCCTAGTATAAATCAAAAGAACTTGGCCCAGCTACGAGATTCCCCCGGCATTCGTTCCTTTGTGCGCGATTCCGTAGAGTCAATGCCAATTAATGAAGAGCAAGGGGAGAATATGGGCCTAAGCGCAAACTTTGAGAAGAATTTTGTAAACATCGACGTAAATGCAAAAACGGAAGTAAAGACAGAGCCAGATTGGACCGTTTCCGATAAGTACGCCGCATTCATTGTTCCAGGTAAAGACGAATTTAATCCGAAGCCATACCGCTCCGGATCTCCGCATCAGCAATTGGTAAAAGTGGTCAATGCGGAACAGCTGGAGCACATCGAGGAACTTGATCCGTATTTACAGCAGCAGGCTTACGGCGCACTTGTGCAGACTGGTCTGGAAAGTCAGCAAACTACCTATGGAGCTCTATCGCAAACGAAGAAAAAACAGTTCAACGCGGCCACCAAAGTTCTTTGTTACATGTCAAACTGGGCTTTCTACCGAAAGGGAGAAGGTCATTTTGTCCCTGAGCAGATAAGCCCAAAACTCTGTTCGGTCATTATTTATTCGTTTGCCTCTCTAGACCCTGATCATTTGACCATTAGCGCGTTCGATCCTTGGGTTGACTTCGATAACCAATACTACAAGCGCGTGACTTCCTTGGGAGTACCCGTACTTATTGCATTGGGTGGCTGGACTGACTCTAACGGCTCCAAGTACTCACGATTAGCCAGCGATGAAATTAAGCGGCGGGTCTTTGCATCAAGTGTTGCCGGCTTCCTTCAGCGTCACGGATTTAGCGGTATACATCTTGACTGGAACTATCCAAAATGTTGGCAGAGCGACTGTACAAAGGGACCAGAAAGCGATAAACCCAACTTGACAAAGCTTCTTAGAGAACTGCGTACGGAATTTCAGCGTGTTAACCCGAAATTCCAGTTAGGTGTTGCCATCTCGGGCTATAAAGAGATCATTACGGAAGCCTATGAAGTTTCCGCTTTATCAGACATAGTAGACTACATGACAGTGATGACATACGACTACCATGGTTCATGGGAGCGGCAGACAGGCCATGTTAGTCCACTATACGGCTCATTGACAGATAAATATCCGCAGTACAATACAGACTACACGATGCAATTGCTCTTAAAAATGGGTGCGCAAAGAGAAAAACTGGTTTTAAGCATTCCGTTCTATGGCCAAAGTTTTACAATGGAACAAAGTAGTCAAAAGCTGGTGGAAGCTGGAGTACCAGCAAGTGGACCAGGGGATGCCGGGGAATCAACGAGGCAGCCAGGAATGCTGGCATACTACGAAATTTGCCAGCGCATTAGGAAGTCCAAATGGATGACTGGGCGGGATGCAAATCAAAGATCAGGGCCGTATGCAATGTTAAAGAACCAGTGGGTGGGATACGAAGATCCGAGAAGTGTTGAAGCTAAATCTCGGTACGCGGCCAATAATAACTTTGCTGGTGTGGCAGCATGGACCGTTGACCTCGATGACTTTCAAAATCGCTGCTGCAGTGAGTCGTTTCCGCTTCTAAAGTCCATTAACCGGGCATTGGGTCGATTGGACTCAGAGCCCCCCACCGGAATTAACTGCGAGCGTCCGCCATTAGTGGTTACACCCATCCCACCTCAAATGACTACTATAAGTAGCGATGGCTCCGCGGGCGTGAGTCACAATCACACAACTTGGCCGAGCTGGGAGGCCAGCACGACAAAAAAACCCAAACCTATAACTACAACTGAAAACAATAAAAGTACCACTACTGTTGCGAGCATCTGGTGGAGCCCGACATCAAGTCGTCCCAGTATGCCTACCAAGACCACTGCCAGACCTGCACACACCACTATCCCCGTACCAGCAGTAATTTACCCCGTGGTACAGGCCTCAAACTGTAAAAGTGGCGAGTTTTATCCCGACTCCAAAAATTGTAACGCCTACTTTCACTGCATAAATGCCGGAGAATTGCGGCAACAGTTCTGTCCTGGAGGTCTTCACTGGAACAAGGAGGCTAAGGGATGCGACTGGCCGTCATCGGCTCAATGTTCAAAAAAACGGGTGCAGGAATCGAGCACGGTTATCCTAAACCCGGTTCCAACGACCATGAAGCCAAAAAACACCACAACTAGCACAAAGCCTAATCGGAAACCGACAGTTACAGTTACACATCATAATTTCGTTAACGCCTCAGTACGACCACAAACTTCGCGCCCACCAACATTGGCCAGTTGTAATGAAGGGGAATATTATACCCACAGAAACTGTGGAGAATACTACATCTGCATCAATGGTGTCCTAGTACTCAGCGAGTGTGGCGGCAACTTACACTGGGACGCAATACGTAAGAGATGCGACTACCCAGAGGTTGTGAATTGCGTAACAAGCCAAAAATATCTAAAAATCATTCATGCCAGTCGCGTCAGCGAGGAGGATCCGTGCAATGGCGAGGAACGAGTACCGTATCCGGCTGACTGTTCGAAATATCTCTTCTGCTTATGGAACCGACTTCAGGCCGCTGATTGTCCACCAGGACTGCACTTCAGCGAGTCGATTGGGAACTGCGACTGGCCAGTTGCAGCCAAATGCAATCAGGACTCTGGTAATAATAGCGGGCTAGCAGGATCAATGACTAAGCCCAAGCCTCCGTTGTCCAAACCGGCACCCACCACGCAAAAACCGGCCACCACAGCACGTCCAACCTACCCCACAGAAAAGCCAGTGTTGAAGCCTTTGGACGGGTACTACAAAGTCGTGTGCTACTTTACCAATTGGGCCTGGTACCGCAAGGGACTGGGTCGCTATACTCCTGATGACATCAACACGGATCTGTGCACTCACGTGGTTTATGGGTTCGCTGTTCTCGATTACTCCGAATTAATTCTGCGCACCCATGATTCCTGGGCCGACATTGACAATAACTTTTACACGAGGGTCAGTGGCCTTAAAAGCAAGGGTATTAAAGTGAGTTTGGCTCTTGGCGGCTGGAATGACTCGCAAGGCGATAAGTACAGTCGCCTAGTACGAAGTCCCTCCGCACGTGCTCGCTTTATACGCCATGCCGTTGAGTTTGTTCAAAAATATGGATTCGACGGTCTTGACCTAGACTGGGAGTACCCGGTGTGTTGGCAAACGGAGTGTAACAAGGGATTCGTCGAAGAGAAAGAGGGTTTCACCGCATGGGTTCGGGAACTGTCAGAAGCTTTTAGGCCTCGGGGACTTTTGTTATCTACTGCCGTCTCGCCTAGCAAAAAAATAATTGATGCAGGATACGACGTTCCCCAGCTTTCTCGGTTATTTGATTGGATCGCTGTGATGACATACGACTTTCATGGTCAATGGGACAAGAAAACTGGCCATGTGGCCCCTTTGTTCTATCATCCCGATGATGACTTTGAGTATTTTAACTCGGTAAGCATATTAAACACAAATATTTGCGAATACCGAGCATATTTAATCTGTTTGTTTTGCAGAACTTCTCGCTACACTATTGGATTGAAAAGGGAGCTCCATCGCGGAAAATTATTATGGGTATGCCACTATATGGTCAATCTTTTACTCTAGAAAAAGCAAGCAACAGTGGTCTAAATGCCAAGGCCCCTGGACCCGGCCAAGCAGGAGAATTCACCAGAGCAGCAGGGTTCCTTGCTTACTATGAGGTAAACAGCTTTAAAAGTCTGATGGATAAATTTATATGATTTACAGGTTTATAAATTAAGCGTGAAAGCACGTCTTTTGGCGCAACAGTGGAATCGCATTTATGTCTGTTGATTTGTACATTAATTTTATAAACTAAATTATCTTAGGATCTAGTTCTTGGCAGGATATATCTTAAAATATTTTGTAGTAGTTTTTATTCTTAAGTCGGTAGAAGTAATGTCCTACAACTTATACCCTTGCAAAGGCTATTTAAATTTTAGTAAATTCCTTGCAACACATTGAAGAAGACACTTTTGACCCTATACAGTGTAAATATTCTTGTTTAGTAGCACCCTATTATGTTTGTTTCTACGAAAACGAGTCTATCACCTTTGTATGGGTTTTTGTTTTTAACAATTTTTTTTTTTTTTTTTTTTTTTTTGCGCGTAGTCCCACGGCCCACACACATTTTAACTAGAGAAAGAAAAGGTGTGGCAACCTTTTCAAAATGTCGATGTTCATACTGACAGTGGGCCTAAAACGAGTAGCAAATTTTTAAGAAAGCTATTCCCATCATTGCTGTGGCAACTCCGGACTCCCTTCCAAGGCTCGAGAGCAAAAAATCAGGCCTGACAAATTTGTAACACACACGCCATTCCCTGCTTATGCATGTACAGAATAGGAATATATCATGTGCGTCAAAACCGTCGTGGCACAGAAGTGTAACTAATTTCCGCTGCATACGGGTAACAAAATTATAATTTGTATACCCTTCCGCTTCCAGATGGTTTTTCTAACTACTATTGAATTTCGAATTAAATTTTATAAAATCAGATAACTATATCATATAGTTACCATAGGAAAGTTCAGAAAATATATACAGAATTCACGCAAATAAAATCCGTTGTTTTTCATGAGACAATTATGATTTTTGGAATATATAGTTTTTTACGACTCTTAAATTTCAAATTAAAGTAAAGTAGTCAAAAATATGGAAAATTTAAAGAAAAATCGTCGTCGTTGTTTAGCCTTTATGTATTTTGTTCGACATTTGATGTCTGCAAGGGTATATAAGCTTCAGCTTGCTCAAGCTAGCTTTCTTTCTTTCAATATAAAGCTCTTATAGTTCCTGAGATATCCACGTTCATATGGACAAACCGACAGAAAAAGAAAGATATTTTTTGGAATAAACACCTTTGACCTGTTATATATTGTTAAAAATACCCTGTTACTCTATGAGTAACTAGTGTACTTGTAAAATTAGGCAGAGCATTTCGTATGACATAAGAACCATCGGAAAAGTTCTAGAACATTTATAGAAAGATAAGTCCTAACTTCGTTGCTAACCGTATAATCAACATACCAGCTGATATTGTAAGTAGAAGAATTTGTGATAAATTTTTCTAACTTTCTTGTATTTAAAAACAAGGCATTTTAAGTGTTATATTTTGTGTTTTTCGCAATAAACTTAAATTAATAAAAACTATAAACATTTTTCCAAACAGATTTGCGACCGGGTTAAGCACCAGGGCTGGGAAGTAGTCCAAGATCCACTTGGTCGCATGGGTCCGTATGCCCATAAGGGAACACAGTGGGTGTCCTACGATGACCCTGCTATGATCCGAAAAAAGTCGCAGCTGGTGCGATCATTGGACCTAGGCGGGGGCATGGTATGGGCCCTTGATCTTGATGACTTCCGCAATCGGTGCGGAGATGGCGTACACCCCCTACTTCGGGAGATCCACGACGTGCTTAAGAATCCACCAAACTTGTTCAATACAACTTGTGAGTTAAGCCCTCCATATTTTTTTTTCAATGATTCATATTTAACTTAAAATTTTAGCTGGCATTTTAGATCCGCAGTCTGTCGAGGAAGTTGTTGGAGGCTCAGGGGAAATAAACGAAGAAGTTGAAGCTGAAAATGGGGAAAGTGAAGAAGTGTCTGAAATTGTAGAAACTGGAGAGCTTGAGCCAGAAACGGGGCTTGAAGCATCAGTTTCAATACAGACTACTGAAGCTGAATTGGAGGCTAGCAATGGTGGATACACTTCAGGAACTTTGCCAGAAAAGGAAATAGATCCAAACAAAGACGTTGAGGAAGAGTTCTCAGCTCCTAGTACAGCATTGTCAGCCGATTTTAAAGTAATCTGCTATTTTACAAACTGGGCGTGGTATCGCCAAGACGGTGGCAAGTTCCTGCCAGAAGACGTTAATGCTGATCTGTGTACTCATATAGTCTATGGATTTGCTGTGCTAAACAGGGAAAAGCTGACAATTCAACCTCATGACTCCTGGGCGGACTTAGACAACAATTTCTATAAGCGGACTGTGGAATATCGCAAGAAAGGCGTTAAAGTAACTTTAGCCATTGGGGGGTTGGAACGACTCAGCCGGCGACAAGTATGCCCGACTAGTAAGAAACGCAGAAGCACGTGCGCGGTTTATACGACACGTTTTAAACTTTATTGAGAAATATGAATTCGATGGTCTTGACCTTGACTGGGAGTACCCAGTTTGCTGGCAGGTGGATTGTAAAAAAGGTACTGCTGACGAAAAAAACGGATTCACTCTCTTAGTGCGGGAATTGTCAAAGGTATTCCGACCTAAGGGCTTACTTCTTTCGGCTGCCGTGTCCCCTAACAAAAAGGTAATCGACGCTGGTTACGATGTGCCCGAGTTGTCACACTTCTTTGACTGGATATCAGTCATGGCATATGATTACCACGGTCAGTGGGATAAGAAGACTGGTCACGTAGCGCCTATGTATGACCACCCCCAAGGCACGGACACTTTTAACACGAATTTCTCAATGAACTACTGGATATCAAAAGGAGCTGACCGGCGGAAGCTGGTGATGGGTATGCCAATGTACGGTCAGTCATTTTCTTTAGCTAACTCCAGGGATCACCAACTAAATGCCCCGACCTACGGTGGCGGTGAAGCTGGAAAGGCCACAAGGGCACGAGGTTTTCTGGCCTACTATGAGATCTGCTTGCACATTCGCGAACGTAGATGGAATGTGGTAAGAGATGCTAGGGGTCGCATGGGACCTTTTGCCTATCTCGGAGATCAATGGGTCTCCTTTGACGATGCATCCATGATTCGGCATAAAAGTGAGTACATTAAGGCAATGGGCCTTGGAGGAGCTATGATCTGGGCTTTGGATCTGGACGACTTTAAAAACGACTGCGGATGTGAAAGCTACCCTTTGCTTAAAACGATTAATCGCGTGTTAAGAGGTTTTGGAGGTCCACATCCAAAGTGCCTGCTTGAACAAAAAGGGAGCACAATGAGTAAGTAGTGCATACAAATATCTCTGGGTATCATATTTAACATCAATGAGTTTCGCAGTTGCAAACTTTAAGCCGGCCGTTAAGCCCACTATCAATCAGCAAATTGACCCTGTTTCACAAGGTGGGTTGCCAAGTAATCTAAATGCTATTCAGCCGGTCCAGTCTATAGAATGTGACGGAGAATACTATTTGCCTCACGAACGTGACTGCAATAAGTATTACATTTGCCAAGACGGGGTGCAAGTGGAACAACGGTAAGCATAATTTAGTATTTACGGATAAAACCATACAAACTATAGTTTACGTAACAAAAATTAATAAATTCGATTTATTTTTATCTTTACTTTTAAAACTTAAAAAAAAATGTTTACGAAAAGTCGAAGCTTTCCAGCTAGCTGCCCATTCTGCTTTTTGTCCCCCGGCGGTGTTCTTTTGAAAAGCTCATTCTTTTTAAGCTATGACATAATTTCTATTGTGTCTGCAAAATATAACTGCTGATTCCCTTACAAACGGTGTAATAATTAGAGATAAAAGCTTGCAACGAACTGAAGTTGAAACCACACACACCATAAAGCATATATTTTATTGATCAACATCACCATCTGAGTGGACCTGGATATGTACTTTTGTTCGTCTATCCGTCTATCTGATTCCCACGCATACTAGCTATCTAGCTTTAAATATGAGAGACAAGTTTACATATAAACAGACAGACGGACATAAGTTAGAAGACAGATTATCATTGTGATTCTGCTTCGGCAAGCTGAAGGTTATATACCCTTGCAGACTTCAAACATGTGAAACAAAATACATATTGAACCCCAAAAACCCCCCGTAAGTCCGCCACTGGTATCAGCATTTCTGTCAGCAACTCACCAAGTTTTAGTCTGACCTCGTGAGTGGTGATTAGACTTAAGGTCTCACGGAGGTTCATAGCAATACCATGTCTATTAGTAATGCTAATCATCAGTATAGATAAATGTGTACACTTAAACATCGGAAATGTTTAAAAAAAACTTTCATTCGTCTTCCACAATAAGGATTTTACTTAAAAACCTTTTTTTTAATCTGTATTAAATTTCTGTATGGGGCCGTCCATAAACCTCGTGACGCTAATTGTTGGCTTTTTTGACCCCCTCCCCCCCTATGTGACGCATCACATATACAAATTACAACCTCCTTACAACAAAGCGTGACTCTCTGATGAACCCCCCACCCCCCTAGGAGCGTCACGAGGTTTATGGACGGCCCCTATTGTATTCGAAAATAATCTTTTCAACATTTTATTCGTATTGTTTTTCAAGATGTCCTTCAGGTCTCCAGTGGAACAAGAACTACTGCGATTGGCCGAATAACGTCAATTGCTCTGTGCGAATGGAATATACAACCCAAGTGCCAGTGGTCGATCGCCCTAAGCCTACGATAACTATTCCGGAAGCGACAACAAGCAACAAGCATCCGTCCTCCACTCCACAGTATAGCAGCAGCGATGCCTATAAAGTTGTTTGCTATTTCACCAACTGGGCCTGGTACCGACAGGGCCAGGGGAAGTATTTGCCCGAGGACATAGATGCTAATCTTTGCACGCACATTGTCTACGGCTTCGCTGTGCTCGACAGCAACTCGCTGTTGATCAGAACGCATGACTCCTGGGCCGATGTCGACAACAAATTTTACCAACGCGTGGTAAAGTTCAGACAAGAAGGACTTCGTGTCACGGTGGCCATCGGAGGGTGGAATGACTCGCTGGGCAGCAAGTATGCGCGCTTGGTGCTTGACCCACAGGCTCGGGCGCGCTTCATCGAAAGTGTACTTAGATTTTTAGAAAAGTACGGCTTTGAGGGCCTGGACTTGGACTGGGAGTACCCAGTGTGCTGGCAGGTGGACTGCACAAAGGGCGCTCCCTCTGAAAAGCAGGGATTTGTTGCTTTGGTGAAGGAACTATCGCAGGCATTTAAGCCAAAGGGGCTGCTGCTCTCCGCAGCAGTCTCACCCAGTAAAATGGTAATCGATTCAGGTTACAACGTCCCCGAGCTGTCTCAGTACTTTGATTGGATTGCAGTGATGGCGTATGACTTTCACGGACACTGGGATAAGCAAACCGGTCATGTAGCCCCGCTTTACCACATAGAGGGTGACTCTAGTCCTTACTTTAATGGAAACTTCAGTGTCCACTACTGGTTGGAACGGGGCACCCCCGCGGACAAGCTGGTTATGGGAATGCCCATGTACGGCCAGACTTTTTCGCTGGCTGACAGAAAGCATTCATCACTAAACGATAAATCAGTAGGTCCAGGACAGGCAGGGCCATTTACTCGAGCTGGAGGGTTTTTGGCATATTACGAGATCTGTGAAAAAGTTGGCAACGGTGGTTGGAGCGTAGTGAGAGATAAAGAGGGTCGTATTGGACCCTACGCTTACAGTGGCAACCAGTGGATCTCGTACGATGACGTGGCAGACATTCGAAGGAAGGCACGGTTTATAAAGAGTCTTCGGCTGGGTGGCGGAATGGTTTGGGCCCTTGATCTAGACGACTTTCGCGGCCGGTGCGGGTGCGGCAAGCACCCATTGCTGCGCACCCTTAACCAGGAGCTGCGCAGCATTCCCGGACAAATCGCCAGCGATTGCACTTAATAATTGGCATATCCCACTTGTCGCTTTCCGAGCTCTCCATATATTGTCTAGAGTTAGGTCGATTCTTGTATAAGCATGAAACTTAAAATAAAGGAATTAATTTTAATTAAAATCAATAGCTTTTGACTATTTTTAATGGACCGTTACAATGTGAATTTTTGACAGAAATTGAGATCGTATAATATCTATATATATAAAAATGGAGACAAAAAATGTGCGGAATCGCATTACGAGAGAACAGCAGGCCAATCTGGCTAAAAATTTTTTTCAGTTGTTTGTACCTGCCAGAAGAAGGTTATAGCATAAGAAAATTTTGGGAAAACCTTCTGGAAAAGTCGCCAGCGGCTCAACAGATGTACACAATGTTGTATGTAAAATTCTAAAACACACTACAGAGATCATAGCTGCGTTGATATTGTGTATCGATGAAGTCGGTAAAAAAATATTTAAACAAAAAAAACGCGTGAGCTTAAACAATTGGAAATAATGCCTGCTGTTAGACGATTAAGACTTGGACGGCGTTCGCGCAATGTAATAAATAGTCAGAATTTCCGTAATAGTCGGACGCAAGAGGAACGTGCAGAAATAAATGCATCGACACGTGCCCGAATGGTACAGCTTCGCGCTGCACAAACCCCACCTCAAGCCCGACAATATAATAGAGGAAGACGAACCGCAAATAATAACTTTAATCGCGCTGCATTCGTATACAATTCTGAAACACCCTACAAGGATCATAGCTGCGTTGTTATTGGTTCATTGTCTGTCGTATGTCAGCATTGCAATGCACTGAAGTTTCGATTGGAAACCCCCGGCTTATGCTGTGCAGGTGGCAAACTTAAATTGTCCGTTTTGGCTCATCCACCAGAGCCATTGTATTCGCTACTATATGGAAATTCAGCCCAAACAAACAGTTTCCTAAAGCTTGCACAAAAATATGTATAACGGATGCTTTCAAATGACCTCAAATGATATTAACCAGGCTACAATCCAAGTTATAAGGTAATGGCGTCTCTCTTTTATCACAATGAGCAACTCCCAATGATTTCGAGTCAAAAAAATTTCACAACAAATTTGAATTACCAGTGTTCTATTATTACCCTGGGGTTATATGAAATCGTGAAATTGGGGCGAGGCAAAGTTCGCCGGGTCCGCTAGTTTAACATAAAACATAATATGCTCAGCTCTAAGCTGAGCTTCTTATGTTTATACCCTTGCTGGGGGTATTTTAATTTCATCCAGAAGTTTAAAACGCAGTGAAGAAGACACCTCAGACTGCATATTTATATTTTTGATCAGCATCCCGATCTGAATCGAGATACGCCTGTCTGTTTCTATGTAAACTAGTCTCTCAGTTTTAAAGCTATTTCGCTGAAACTATACCAAAAAACTAAAAGAAAAAAAATTAAAAAACGAAAGGTGAGGAAAGAAAGTTAAATGTTATTTTAATTTTAAATTTAACGATCTAATTTTGTGCCAGAAATGTTAGTATTGATCTTTTTAGGAGTTCCAGAGAGTCAGAAGAAGATACTATAGAATACAGTCTATTATAGTCTGAACAAAGTACCCTGAGAGGCTCATGCACGTCGTAATTAGATCTACAAAGATTTAAAACTAAAGGAGCATAATTTCTAGTAATTCTACTTGGTACTGAGAAATTTAGTCTACTCAGCAAGTAAGGACAGTTAATTTCACCACGTATAAGGTTATGAATAAATACAGTACCAAGCATCGTTCTACGGTTAGTAAGGGAGGGCAAGTTAATGAGGAGCAATCTATGAGAATATGAGGGTAGGAATAGGTTTGCATTCCAGTTTAGGCGACGTAGGGCAAAAATTAAAAAGTTTTTTTGTACTGATTCTATGCGATCAGCATGTACTCCGTATTGAGGACTCCAAACGGGTGCCCCATACTCAAGGATTGGCCGGACCAACGATATAAATAAAGCCTTGGTAACGTAAGGATCCTCAAATTCCTTCGACCATCGTTTAATAAATCCAAGCATTCCCCTAGCTTTATTAACCATGTTCGAAATATGAGCGGAGAATTTAAGTTTGGGGTCCAATTGGACGCCAAGATCGTCAACAAGCGCTATTCTTTCCAAGGCACCACCACTTAGTGAATAGGTGACATTTTGTGGATTAACCCGACAAAACGTCATCAGCTTGCATTTAGAGCTGTTTAATTTCAGGAAATTTTCGTTACACCAGTTTTGAAAATTGTTTAGGTCTGCTTGAAGGTTTAAATGACGGGAGTAATCATTATACTGCAGACACAGTTTTACATCGTCCGCGAACATAAGTACGCGGGAATGCGCAATGATCGATGGAAGATCATTGATAAACAAGGTAAAAAGTAATGGTCTCAGATGGCTTCCTTGTGGTACACCAGAGGTAACTCTGAGGATACTACTTATGAAATTTTTGAAAAGGACTCTTTGCGTTCGGCCACTGAGATAACTAAAGATCCAACTTAAAAGATCTGCTGGAAACCCCATCATGTCAAGTTTGCGAATCATTAGGAAGTGATTTACAGAGTCAAATCCTTTACTGAAGTCTGTGTAAATGACATCAGTTTGGAAATTATTTTTAAAGCCATCTATCACGAAGGATGTGAGCTCTAAAAGATTTGTTGTGGTAGACCTGCGTTTCATAAATCCGTGTTGGCATGGAGATATGATTGATCTACAAAGGTGCTGCAAGTGGGGGGTTACTGCACGTTCGAAAAGCTTTGGAATTGCTGACAATTTAGAAATACCTCTATAATTGCAAGCATCCGACTTGCTTCCCTTTTTAATGAAGGGGAATATCAAATGACTCCTTCCAAATAAGGGGAAACTGACAAGTTTGTAGGGATAGGGTAAACAGCTTGAGAAGGAGTTTACACAATGCATTTGCAGAGTGTTTAAGAACGCACCCAGGAATCCCGTCAGGACCTGGGGAGTAAACTGGTGTAACACGTTGAAGATCCAAAAGTAGGGAGCTTTCGTTTAAGGTGGGACGAAATATTACGTTCGACTTAGGTATTGCGTATAAATATTGCTCACTAGAATGAGACACTGTTGAGTAAGTTGTTTGAAAGAATTGGGCAAACAGATCGGCTATTGCCTGATCAGTGTTAGCCGTCCTACTTTCAAACGAAAGCAAAGGCGGAAAGGAACATGATCTGTGCTTAGTGTTGACAAAATTATAGAACTGTTTGGGATCCCGTAAAAACTGGGACCTGCAACGGACTAAATAATTCTTGTAACACTGAGCGTTAAGCACGGTAAAGTTTGACCGAGCTCTTAAGTATTTTCCAAAAACAGTTTTCTAACTACCATTAAATTTCGAATAAAATTTTATAAAAATCTGATAATTATATCATATATGTATGTAGTTTCCGTAGGAAAGATCGAAAAATATATGTAGAAATAGTGGAAATAAATTTTTAACAACGCTTATACAGATAAAAAAAAAAAAATAAAAATCGAACAAGTATATCAAATAGCTGCCATATAAAAGATTGAAAAATCTATATAGAATGAATGGAAATAAAATGATAGCATCTATGTTTTTCATCAGACAAAAAGGTAATCGACGCTGGATACGATGTGCCCGAGTTGTCACACTTCTTTGACTGGATATCAGTCATGGCATATGATTACCACGGTCAGTGGGATAAGAAGATTGGTCACGTAGCGCCTATGTATGACCACCCCCAAGGCACGGACACTTTTAACACGAATTTCTCAATGAACTACTGGATATCAAAAGGAGCTGACCGGCGGAAGCTGGTGATGGGTATGCCAATGTACGGTCAGTCATTTTCTTTAGCTAATTCCAGTGATCACCAACTAAATGCCCCGACCTACGGTGGCGGTGAAGCTGAGATTTGCTCGCGCATTCGCGAACGTAGATGGAATGTGGTAAGAGATGCTAGGGGTCTCCCTTGACGGCAATGGGTATTGACTTGTTGACTCCTTGTTGCAATACAAAATTTAGTAGACTGTATTTATTCGATATTATTTTTTAGCAACTACACAACTTCATTCATTAGGTGGCACTACAACCCGATTCGGGCTTTGGCCGACCACAGCGTCTCCCTCCAGGCGCCTCTGCTCCTCGCGCGCCTCCACCAATCGGAAATACCCAGTGCAGTCAGGTTCTCCTCCACTTGGTCCTTCCAACTGAGCTTTGATCGTCCCCTTCGTCGTCGCCCGTAGTCGACCCTCGCTTCAAATACCTTCTGAGCTAGAGATTCTTCATCCATACGCACGACGTGGCCGAGCCAGCGCAGACGTTGTACCGTGATGCGCCGGATCACGTCCACGTCGTCGTACAACTCGTACAGCTCGTGGTTCATCCGATTGCGAAAGTCGTCCCCAATCCGAACGGGACCAAAGATCTTGCAAAGAATTTTTCTCTCGAACACTCCAAGCGTGTGATATTACCCATGCTTCTGCGCCATATAATAGCATGGGTAGGATGAGTGTCTTGTAGAGTGTTAATTTTGTACGGCGAGAGAGGTCTCTATTGCACATTTGCTTACTCAGACCAAAGTAGCACCTATTGGCAAGTGTGATTCTTCGCTTGATCTCCAGGCTGACGTCATTTTCGGTGTTAAAGGCAGTGCCAAGGTACGTGAACTCTTTGATCACTTCGAAGGTATAGCTGTCCGCTACCACATGGGAGTCTAGGCGCCGCGCCTCCCTGCTTGTCGACAGCATATACTTCGTCTTGCCCTCGTTTACCGCCAAACCCACTTTTGCCGACTCTTTTTCGATAGCCGAAAATACAGCAGTGACATCACGCTTGCTGCGGCCAATGATGTCAATATCATCGGCATACGCAAGGAGCTGGACACTTTTATAAAAAATAGTGCCAGATCGATGTACACTGGCTTTCCGCAGTACCCCTTCCATCACGAAATTGAAAAGATCGCACGACAGGCGGTCGCCTTGTCTGAAACCTCGAACGGTATTAAAAGATTCGGAGAGGTTCGTTCCTACCTTGACAGAGCTGATGGTGCTGCTCAATGTCATTCTGCAAAGCCGTATTATTCTCGTGGGTTTTTTCCAGGATTTGGCGTAATGTGAAGATCACGTCTAT